TAAAATGACAGCATTTTTTTAAAAAGTATCTCTATTTCATTTATTTTGTTTCTGAGACAGGATCTTGCTCTGTTGTCCAGGCTAAAGAACAGTGGTATCATCGTAGCTCACTGTAACCTCAAAATCCTAGGTTCAAGCAATCCTTTTGCCTCAGCTTCCCCAGTAGCTGGGACTATAAGTGCATGCCACCATACCTGGCTAATTTTCTTATTTTTTGTGGAGATGGGTGTTGCTGTTTTGCCCAGGTGGTCTTGAACTCATGGCCTCAGGCGATTTTCCTGCCTCAGCCTGCCAAGGTGCTGGGATTATAGGCATGAGCCAAAGATTCTTTTGTTTGTTTGTTTTTTTGAGACAGGGTCTCATTCTGTCACCCCAGTTAGAGTGCAATGATATCATGATAGCTCACTCCAACCTCTAACTCCTGGGCTCAAGTGATCCTCCTGCCTCAGCCTCCCAAGTAGCTGGGACTACAGGGACATGCCACCATGCCTGGCTGATTTTTCTTTTTTTTGTAGAGACAGGGGTCTTGCTCTTGCTCAGGCTGGCCTTGAACTCCTGACCCCAAGTGATCCTCCTGCCTTGGCCTCCTAAAGTGCTAGGATTACATGTGTGAGCCGCCATGCCCAACCTGAAGATTCTTAATAGTACCATGCCTAATTGGAAAGTAGAAGGCACCAATAGAACGGTATTTAAGAGTTTCTAATTTGGCTTTTGTTCTGTAGAGGTGAATGTATTTCGATTGGAAATGGAGGGTATTACAGTCAAAGGAAAAGGTTGTCCCAAACCAATTAAATCTTGGGTCCAGTGTGGAATTTCGATGAAGATCTTGAATTCGCTAAAAAAGTAAGTGGTTGGTTGGTGGTCATCCACGTTTTTCATTATCTTGCTACTCAAGATAGCCCTTTCACACAAATATTTCGCTGGGTTACATTTGTAGTCTAATAAGAAAATTCTTTTTTTTTTCTTAAATGGCTTTATTGAGATATAATTTATATATCTTAAAGTTTGTCCTTTAAAGTATACAATTTAATGGTTTTTTTAGTGTATCTATACAGTTGTGCACCCGTAACATAATCTAATTTTAGGAATTTTCATTATCCCGAAAAGAAACCTGTGTCCATTAGCAGTCATCTCCCTTCTCCTTTACTCTGGGCAATCATTAATCTGCTTTCTATCTGTGTAGATTTGGCTGTTCCGAACATTTCATAAAAACGTGATCATATACTGTGTAGTGTTTTGTGAATGGCTTTTTTCACTTAGCATGTTTTTAAGGTTCATCTGTGTTGTGGAATGTCTTAGTACTTCATTACTTTTTATGACCAAATAATTTCATTGTATGGGTATACCATATTTTGGAAGAGCTCATTTTTGTGGGACCCAGAGGGGCCCAGAGATCTTAATTCTTCACTTATCTTCCTGTGGTTTTCTTTTTAAGGCATGGGTATGAAAAGCCCACACCAATCCAAACCCAAGCAATTCCTGCCATAATGTCTGGACGAGATTTGATTGGCATTGCTAAGACTGGAAGTGGAAAGACCATTGCTTTTTTGTTGCCCATGTTTAGACATATCATGGATCAGAGGTCATTAGAAGAAGGAGAGGGGCCAATAGGTATAATTCTTTTCATTAAACTATTTTTTTCAGATAACAGCTTTGTGTTCAGTTAATCAGAAAGACCTGATACTTTATAATGTTCTTAATGATGACAATAAAGATGTCTTTATGTACATTTCCTTTATCAATTTGGCACTTTGGGGCTGATTTCCCCTTACCAGCAGGTGGAGTGAGAATCTTCAGAGCTCTGGAGTGACATCTCAGAAGTACAAAAACAGCCTCTCCTGGCACAGCTCAGTTTTTAAGCTCTGACCTGGCAGGTAGACTCCTTGTGCATCTATCTGTTTATTTATGTTGAGGTTTGTTCTTAGCCCAATATCAGTGCATATCTAAACTCAACATAGAAGATAGTAGGGAAATATATTTTCCTAGTTTTTTTGGGCCTTAAAAGGCTATAGTGCCAGCATTTCATTCAGAATTAGGTCTTCAGATTCAGATTTCTTGGTTCATTTTGGCAGAGATGTCTTCTGCAAATTTGAGTAGGGTTTTGGAAAGTTGTTCAGCCACTCTCTTGGAAACACAGGGCACAGAATATTTGTCCTCTGTCTGTGCCCCTCAGAACAAGGTTGTTTCTGGAAACACCGGTATGGCTTCTTCAGCACAGTGAGTCATTTGATTTTCTTTGTTCTGTGATTTGCAGTTGAGAACTGTTTGCATTCTATTCAACCAAGTGTTTTCCTGAAGGTCGAGTGAGGCATTTAACTCTCATTTATCTTCTTATAGCATGTTTTTAAAATCTACTTATACTTATCCTTCACCACAATCTTTGCTGTTGTAAAGTTTTTGAAATAGTTTTCAGAGGTGCATAAAACAAATTAAAACAAAAATTAGATGAAGAGTGCTGAACTTTATTGCAGAGGTTGAATTTAACACTTTAAAGCATACCCTGTTACGAGTTTTGGTGGTTAGGCTATTGACATATTTGTCTTTTCAGCTGTCATCATGACTCCAACTCGAGAACTAGCTTTACAAATTACTAAAGAATGTAAGAAGTTTTCAAAGACCTTGGGACTTAGAGTGGTCTGTGTTTATGGAGGAACAGGAATCAGTGAGCAGGTAGTTATAAAAGAAATGTTCAATTTTTCCATTCTTTTCTCAAATTGAATCAGTAAAGTGATTATTCATTTAAGTGTTTTGAATGGTGATTACTTTTAAAATCTTAAAAAATATGTGTGAAAATAATAGTAACAATGAGTTGTATTATGCATGATGAATACATTCTGGAGATAGTGTGGTGATTATAGTTAATATTGTACGCTTAAAATTTGCTGAGCGAGTAGATCTTAAATGTTCTTACCACAAAGGAAAAAATTGGTAACTATGTGAGGTGATAATGTTAATTAGCTTGATTGTGGTAATCATTTCACAATGTATATGTATATCAAAACATCATGTTGTATACCTTAAATATATATAATTTTTTTTTGTCAATTATACCTCAGTAAAGCGGGCAAAAAAAGAACAGATTATGTTAAAGCGGTGTTTTAGAATTTTTGAGTCACATTTACATTAGCTTGTCTCTCTTTCCTCTTCCCCTGCCTGAGGAAGACAGATACATATTTC